ATTTATCTGTGTCCTTGTTAGGATTTCTACTGTTTTTATTCAGTCACACTTAAAACCCCCCCCCCCCCCCCCCCCCCCCCCCCCCCCCGCGGCGGGGCGTTTTGAAATTTTTGCCACAGCGTCTAGTATTTGCCACCCTAGTGCCCAGCGTCTGTTTTTCTCACTCAAGCTGAAGTTCTAACAGCTCCTGGCATGACTCAGTTTTCGTAGCTCCCAAGAGACACTCGGTCTTATTTAGTTTTCTGTTTCAGTGTCTCCTTTGATACAGAACTTGTGGAGGACTGTAGGGCACCATCCCACTCCTGCCGTGGTAGGAGCGAAGACTGGGACTCTTCTACTTGGCTTCCTTTGATGGTACCCAGCTGAGAGGGTCCGCTGTTGGCGCTAGGTGGGGATGGGCTTTTCAGCTTCCTGCTAGGCTTCACCCCCTCAGGGTCAGGAACCAGGGTGGGTGCTGGGAGACGTGAGGTACGCGTCCTGGCTTCGCATCCAGCCCTTCTGACCGTGCTCCACTGAGGAAGAGCCGGGCCTCCTCAGTGCTGGGTCCGGTGCCCCCCATTCTACATGGCTTTCTGTGCGCTGCGAGGGGGAGGTAGATTTCTACCAGGTGGGAGGAATGTCGTGATTTCTACCTGATCTTCTCTGATCCCATTTGGCAGGAGTGGACAGTGCCTGGGGCATCTGGATGGAGTGGGATCCTAGTCTCCCCGCTCAGCCTTGTGGGTAAAGGGACAAGTGGGGTCGCCTCTCCTCAGACTGTTTCGCCAGAGTAGTCTGGGCACCCTCTAACAGGCTGTCTTGCAGGCTTTCCTGTTTCTATGCCTCGGGCGAAGGAGGGGGGGTGTTTCTGTCTATTTCTGGCTTCCTTTCTGCTATAATCTCCTTTTTAGCTTCAAGTCTAAAATACGGTATGCAAAAAAAAAGCCGCCACTGCCTCATTTCTCAGAACTCGGAGTCCCCAGAGTCTGTGTCGGCCCCCCCCTCCCCCCCAGGATGCTGCAGACCACAGCTTTGTGCTTACGGGAGAAACACGTATCCAACCTGTGCTTTCTGTACTCTACTTCCCAGGCTTCCTAGTTTCACTTTGTAGACAACGTTCAGGGTTTTCAGCTTTCCTGAGCAGGGAGACTGGGGAGAAGGGAGTCTTTTTTGGTCTTGGTCTCTGCGGTTTTAGATGAATGACCCTCCTTCCATGGCCAAACAGGAAGCACTGTTTAGCCTTAAGGGGGAAAGTTCTCTTCTTCCCCGCCCCTCTCTGACCTCTCTTCTTCACTCCCAGCCCTGCTGGCCTACCCTCAGAGCAAGCAGGAAATAAGACTTGCTCTGGTGGGATGCAAGTACCCAGCGGACCTTTCTGGGGATCTGAGACTGTTCTTCTCTGATTCTGCTCACATGGAATGTGAGATTGGAACTGCCAGGCTTCTGGGGACCAGAACTTGGAGTTTTGTTATGTAGAGGCTGAAGATGTGTTAAAGCCAGAGGAGTAAAAGAATGGGTATTTCTATTTCTGGATTAAACCATAGCTAAAACCCAGACCGACCTCACATTATCCTGTTCCCTGAGCCACTGTGTAATTGTTTTTCTGCATAAACTAGTTTGGTGAATATTTTTTGATGTTTATAATGAAGAATCCCATATTCCTTGTGTCCCAGAAATTCTTGCCTAGGCTCACAAAGATGCATTTGAGGTTTAAGAATGTATCTCAGCAGTAAAATTCTTTCCCGACTTGTACAAGTATCCAGGTTTGAGCCCCAGCACTAGAAAGTAATACAAATGAATGTTAATTGCATCATTTTAGTATCTAAAAGTAGGAGCTAACTTAAATTAATGCCCACAGACAGGTTATTTGGGACTAAATGCAGCTGCCGAGGGATGAAGCAGTCTGTTAAGCTGGGCCGTAGTAGAAGGTGAACATGGCTTACAGGGTAAAGGGCTTGCAGGACAAACACAAGTTCACAACCAAGTACCCTCTGAGAAACAACACCATGTGTGATCTGCAACCCCAGAACTGGGAGTGTGACAGGCAGGGTCTAGGGACCCGTGGGCCTGACCGTCTATCCAAAATGGTGGAACATGATAGAGGAGACCCTGGACCTTGGCCCCTGCCATTCACAGCACACGCATAGGTATGTATGTGTCTGCATTACGCATGCTTATCACACACACATACACACATACACACACATGCACAATACACACACACAAATATATACACACACAAATACATACACACATACATACACACACAAATACATACACACATACACACAATACACATACACACATGCACATACATACACATACACATACATGCACATATAAATACACAATACAGATATATATATACACACATACACACATGCACATACATACACATACACATATACGCACATACATAAATACACAATACAGACATATATATACACACATATACACATATACACACATACACACATATATACACACACAGACACACACAGACACACACACATCACACACCCTGCAAATGAACACTGCACTGTCCAAAACATTTTGCTACATGAAGCAAAGCATTTGAAGGATAATACACTCTGTTCATGTTAGAAGACTCAGAAACGTAAGGACGCAGTATATAGAGAAATCACTGGAAGGCTACTGAGCGAATTACAAACTTGCCTCTTGGAACAGATTTGACATTGTCTGAGGTTTGGAAGGTTTGATGTTATATTTGACAATATTTACATCTTTTGAGCATCAAGATTATTCATGGGTGATCTCATAGTTAAAAGTATAAAATATTAGAAACATAGTATATACTCTATGATTTTTTTTATTTATAATAAGAATCACTCAGAGTCAAAAGTTAAAAAAGCAAAACTTCTATAGGAATAAATTCCTAAAGAATAAAATAAAGTACCTTCTTCAGAAAAGAGCTTATTTTTTAATTGTGTGTGTGTGGGGGGGAAGAGGTGCTCGTGAATGCCCCAGAGGCGTCAGATGTGGGGGGAGGTGTCAGACGTACATGCAGTTATGAGCTGCCTGACGTGGGTGCTGGGAACTGAACTTGGATTCTCTGCATGAGTAGATCATACAACTGAGCCGTCTCTCGAGCCCCAAATTTAGTGCCCTCATATTAACTCAGTGCTCCCCTTTAGTAACCATTTCCCGGGGTGACACAGCCAGAGTGTGTCCTTAGCCTACACATCATGTCTGTCATCTTCATGACTGTTTTCATTTTCCTGAGCATTGATAAAGTGGAATCTTTGGATTTTCCCCACTGTTGCTTCAGACGGGGTCCCACCATTATAGCCCAGGATGACTTCCAACTTGTAACTCTCTGCCTCAGCCTCTGGAGGGCTGGGGTTACGAGGGTGTGTACCACAACTGGCTTCTCCTGATATTTTGAACATTACAAACATTCATCAAAAAGTAAAGATTAAGTAAAGACAGATTTGTTATCCATTCCTTTAATATAAGATACACTTGTGACACATTCCAAGGCTTCAGAGTTGAGTGTGTCATCTGACTGAAGCCTTTCTCGTCCCCTCTGCTAACAGAGTCCAGTGTGTCATTGGATTAAAGCCTTTCTCGTCTCCCGTGCTAACATCCGGGTGCTCCTCATGACAGCATAAGCCGCACCGAGTGCGCTCTGAGTATTGTCCTCTTGATCTTCATAACCCCCACGAGATGTTTTTCACTTACTTTGGCCATACCACTCCGGTATTTCTCAGTCCTCATAATACCATGAGATACATGTTACAGTCCCATGGTACTTATGATGGTTAGGTAAGTTGAATAATTTCCCCAAAGTCACACAGCTAGAAAACAGCGGTCAGGATTCAACCGTGGGTCTAGCTTAGTTTCAGAGTTTGTCTTCTGAACCATGCTGGTTGTCCCATAGCTAAGTTTCAGTTCCCTGTGTGGCACAAAATAGTAAACGTATTTTCCTTGAGAAATAATCCAGATCGTGTCAGCATAGACTTGTTCACTTGGTGCTGTAGGGAACGTTTGCTAAATAATGTTTGGTACAAAGTATAATAGGAGTTTGCCTTCATACAATTATTATTCACCGTGATTCTCCTTTTCTGGCTGTTTTAATAGCACCTGTACACCTTTGAGAGGGACATGCAAGCTGTCAGCTGCTCTGTCAACAGCGAGAGGACTTTGCTTGGTGAGTTGAGATCCCATTGCTTCCGGTTAAGAGCTATGTCTTTTAAGTTGAAGCATTTGGATTTTGCAGTATTTGACTATAGCAGAAACTTTGCAAAAAAAAAAAATACCTGTTCTATTAGACAACAATGAGGACCCTAAGACAGACTTACATAGATCTAATCTACTTGGGAAGTAGAAAAGGACAAGATCTTCTGAGTAAATTGGGAGAATGGGGACCTTGGGGGAAGATTGAAGGGGAGAAGGGAGAGGCAGGGAGGGGAGCAGAGAAAAATGTAGAGCTCAATAAAAATCAATAAAAAAAATTCAAAGGCAAAAAAACCCCCAAAAACCTGTTCTAGGTAAGTCAAATTTGAAATTGAGCCTGCAGGACACAGCCATAGGAACGAATGCTTTGCCGTCATCCACAGTGTTATGGTGATAGCTCTCACTGATTTCAGGTATAAAGTGTTACATTCGAATAAGCTGCCATGCAGATCGGTTGCTAATTGATTCTTCTCTTTCCCATTAGCTGCCAGTTTCGTCCAGTACACTAAAGATGTAAGGAGTGAGCTTCAGCCGGGTAATGGAATTATCCTTCTCTTGTGTGTGTTGACGGATAAAGATTTGTTGGGCTAAAGGCAAATTTCAAGCTCTTGAGAAGTGCCTTTATCTTAGAATAAAAAGTCAGTGGCCATTTAAATGCAAGGAAGACTTTAAATCTTGTTTCTCAAGTAGGCAAGAAGGTGTGAAAAATAATATAATAGAGATTGTAGGAAAATGAGGTGATAATTAGCCCCTGTAGAGTAAATGAATGCTGAGAATATACTTGACTTCTATGGCCAGGAGCTAATGTAAAAGTAGGGAAACTTACAATATGACTTTAAAAATATCTGGTGAAATATTGATTAATCTCTAATGCATTGTGGATAGTTCATAAATACAAAATAAAACACAAATCTGTTCAGTGACGAAAACCTACTTTTTATTTTCTTAGCCATGCAAACCCTTTCACTTTTTAAATTGCAAAAGGCATTCTGTATCATCCACCTGCCCCACAACACAACAGTACTGACTGCGCATGTTTGGGCCCCCTCCGTGGTGCTGTGGGTACTTCTGTGGAGTGCTGAGGTGGCTGTCCTCAACCACGCATGTTCACAGAGGCCAGATACATAAATAGAGTCTGTGGAAGAAGAATTTGTGTCAGTTCAATCAGTGAAGTTTGCTGTGCAGGCGTGAGAACCTGCGTTCGGTTTTAAACTCCGTGTAAAAACAACGCTTGTTACCTTGGTGCCGTGGAGGTGGAGATGGGCCATCCCTGGTGCTCCCTGGTCAGCCAGCTTAGCCTACTTGGCCATTCCAGGTCAGAGAGAGACTCAGTCTCACAAAGATGGATAATGCCTGGGAAAGACGTACACATTTGGCCTCTGGTCTCTACTGTACCCGTCAACGTGTGTCCTTGTGAAGATACATAGCCGCATAAAAAAGAAAAATGAGACCCTTTTATCGTTCCCATTGTTAAATATTGCATTCCTCTTTGTTTATTTTGGATGTCTGCATGCGTATGGGCATGTGTGTGGGGGTCAGAGGACAACTCACGGTAGCTGGTTCTCTCCTTCCGCTATCTGGGTCCTGGGGCTGGGTTCATTGGTCAGGCTTGGCAGCAGGGGCTTTTCCCTGTCGGGTCTTGTTTCCAGTTTTAGCACAGACGCAGAGAACTATTTCAGTTGTTTAATGAAAGATGTTCAGCCGCTGAAACCTTTGACCCCTGAGAACTATCAAAGGAGGAACCGCTACTTAGCTTTAGATTTTTGTTGCCGCGAAGGGCAGTTAAGTTCGCAGGAACCAGCTTGGCAATTTGTTGAGAATGCTGGACTTTTATGTAAAAATCTAATTTATAAAAGTCGGCCCAACTAGTTTTTAGACTCTGCTCCAGCAACAATACCCACCAGCAGGCTAGAGTCAGCCCGTGAGCTACCGTTTCAGTCCTGGCCCGGAGGATCTGATTTCAGCCCTTGCTGCTATGTTCCCAGGTGGCTCCCCTCTGCTCCATTTATTTGACCCTTGACTCCTTATTTTGTTAGCATAGTTCCTCTTGGACGTATTCTGTGGTTGCATGTGATGGAAAAACCCTTCGCACGGACATTCCACCCAAGGCTCACGAGGCTGTGCTGGATCTCTGAGGCTCACATCTCCCCATGTCTGACAGAGGCAGGAGAACGGGAGCTGAGCCTGGGGAGGGCTTTTGTGAGGTGTTGGTGGGCTAGGTGTCTTATCTGGAATCTCACTGCTTAGTCACTCTTACTTCCACCCTGCAGTGTGACACATGGAGACATAGGTCACCCGTCCCTCGCTCTGCTGGCCTCCTCCCATTCCTTTATACTCTTGACCGTTCTTAGCATTTGACGTAATGCTCACCTCAAGGGTGAGCATTTGGATTTGGACTAGATCACATAGGATGGACTCTAGAACATTAGCATGCTGACCCCTAAACAAGGGTTTGAACAAAACAGGACATGGGGCCCATGTGATGTACTCCTTTGTCCTGGGAAGATAGGGTTCCTGTTGTATGTAGCTGCCAAGCTGGTGGGGCAAGATCCACACACTTTGGATTTGCGCTGTGTGTAGCCTGCTTCTTCTTGTTCCTGGTTACATTTAGTCTGAGAAGTCCATTATGCCAGCAAACTCAGAGAAACTCTAGTTTTTACTTGGTGTTTATCATTTCTGCCTCAGTGCCATGCTTGACAATAGTCAGCTCCAATGCACTCCCAGAGAAAATGTACAGTTTTACTTGATATACAATTAAATCCTATTCCCATATGCTTGCTTGGCCTTGAGTTTGGGCACCTGTGGTGAGATTACTCGCTGTGTCTTTATGAACAGTAGCCTGAATATTGTGAGTTATCATAGCACACACAAAGTGGCTGGCATCCCAATTCACCCTTTATCCCAGCCCCCGAGGCGAGGACCAACTCTGTCCAGGTATAATTCCAGAACATTCCCCCTCAGCTTGGGGTAGATGTAGGAAGATCCAGAGTTCAGAGTCATCCTCAGCTACAGAATGATTTCAAGGCTAGCCTGCGGGATACAGGAAACCCTGTCTCAAAATACCCTTTACCCTAAAAAAGATTTCAGAAATGATGTAACCAGAAAATACTATAGAATATATCATGTTTTGTCTTTGAATAGATATTTTGGAAAGATTTCTTTTGCCTGCTTGAAATGGTTACATTGTACGACATTTTACTTAAGGAAAGTAGTCTTTTGAAAAGTTTTCTTTAACATTCTATTGTTTAAAATGAGATTTTTCCCTGTTGTGAAAGAAACAAACTGTAACATATTTCAAGTAAAAGTTTTTCTGTTCCCATACTTTACAATCAACTTTTACCAGTAACGTCCCTCCTTGGCCATAGTAGAGTTAATGTTTAGAAAATGACAATGACCTTCCATAAGAAGAGGCCCAGGCTGAACTCTGTCTTCCTTTGTGGTTGCCTTTGCTACTAGAGACAATAGATTCTCCTTGGGCAGCAACTGGGGTGGTCACTGTACTGGGACCCCACTGTCATCGAGACTTCCCAGAGCCTCTACCGCATTAGGGACAGATAGATGTTTCACAGAGCTGTGATTTGGCTCAAGAGCGCCACTGTGAAGTACGTGGCGTGTCACTGAGAAACACTCCTGATGGTGGTGGTTGACTCCCACCTCTGTGGTAGCTGTCCTAATTAAATTCCTGGCCTGTGCTGAACCAGGCGGGGGCGGTTAGTAGAGAAAGATAAAGAAAACTTAAATGATAGTTGGTTATTTATTTATAAATACATAAATTCATGCTGTGAAAGCCAGTCTAAGGTGATTCCTTCCCTATTTTTCCTTAGAGTCTCCCCAGATTGTGTTTTTTTTTTTTTACTCAGTTAGAGCATGTGGATTTTTATACGAGATAGTTGGCTGTTCTTTTGTGTTATCTGATACAGTAATTCGGTCGTATATTTAAAATAGACATTAGTAGGAAAATTTGCTCCCCCCTCTTGTTCTCACTTTTTGCAGAATGTTTTTATTCTATTTTCTTCTTGACTGTCTTTGACACCCGTGTCCCTCTTACTCCCAAAGCCATGCTTTAGGCATCGGTCAGATAGATTCCTAGGGTCCCTCACTATCAATGTGACACGGCCTGTCATCAGCCGAGAAAAGCTTCAGTTGAGGATTGTCCAAACCAGACGGGCCTGTGAATGTGTCTGTGGGGGAATTCTTTTGACTGTTAGTTGTTATGGGAGGGCCCGTCACCCTGTGGGCAACACCGTTTCCTGGGTGAGTGGTTCTGGGCTGCATGAGGAAGTGAGCTAGCCAGGAGCCTGTGATTCAGCAAGCAGTATTCTTCAGGCTTTAGTTCCTGCTTCCTGCCCCAACTTCCCTCAGAGATGGACTGTGACCAAGGTGTGAAAGCCAAAACAAAACAAACCCAAAACAACAACAACAAAAACCCAAAACAAACAAGCAAAAAAAAAAAACGAACCCAACCCCCAGCCTCTGCTCCCTTAAGTCACTTTCGGTCACAGCAAGCAACATCTTTGCATCTCAGCCAACAGGAACACAGCCGTTTGAAACTGATGTTCTGTCCTGTCTCTGGAATGCTGGCTCTGTGTTTGGTCATAAACCATGAGTATTGCCATGCATTTCACCTGTGAAATTATACTCACGATTCAACATAAAAGCTTGCCTGCTGTCCTGCTTTCTAAGTGACTGGTGTGCTCAGAAGGATAGGTGTGCGTGGCGGAGTGTGAACACGTGTGGGGGACAGAATTTAATATCAGGTGCCTTCTCCTGCTCTCTGTCTCGCTCTGTCTGAGACAGGATCTCTCAGTGAACCCAGAGCTCACGGATGTGGCCAGGCCGGCTGACCAGTGAGCTAGCTGGATCTGCTTGTCTCCACTCTGGAGTTAGGTGGACGTGGCCATGTTTGGCTGTTTTAGGTGACGTCTGGAGTCTGACCTCAGGTCTCCAAGCTCGTGTAGCAAGCGCTTCCCCCACTGAACCCTCTCCCCAAGCCCTCAAGGCATTTTCTTAGTTCCTAATAATAACGTTCGTCGATCTGCCATTGGTGGAAATGAATACCCAACAGGTCTCTAACAAGCTGTCTGAGAAAACATCACTAGGTAATAAGAGCAAAGTTGCTAAGTTCTGGGCAAGGTGGTACATGAAATCGCCTCACAGGAGGGGAAAAAAATCCAAAAATAAATAAATAAATACACTAGATTAAATGATGTTAAAAGAAAGAAAATCTTTCTCACACACACCCAAACAAACAAAACCATTGTCACAAGACTAGGTGGATAGCCCCAAATCCTAGAAGCTGTGAGGCAGGAGACTCGTTCCAAACTCCAGGACAGAATCAAAAGCACGCCCTCCCAAGTAAAACAAAGTAAACACCCCTGCAATCCCAGCATTCCCGAGGTGCAGGCTGTGGAATTAAGGATTTGAGGCCATCTTCAGAGATGCTGAGTTGAAGACCATCAGCCCGGGCTGCTTGAGATCTCTCAGCAAAGAGAAGCAACGGGAAGCGCGAGCATTCACCTCCAGATGAGTCAGAGGTGGACCCCGGGGTCCACAGGATGCTCTCCCTGGAGATTGTCTGCCTCGCCGGTTTTTAACTCGGAGTCCCGCAGACAGTCTCAGCAAGGCTTCCAGAGCTGCGGGGAGTCTGGTGGTGCAGGAGGCCGCAGGTCTGGCTTAGGCTGCAGGTCTTGCAGTAAAAGCAGTTGTGACCTCTGACCCACAAAGATTACATTGCTGGCGGGGTTACTGGCTCTCCGGCCTCGCCTGTGGCCGTGGGGGTGGAGGGTGAGGAGTGTGGGGGTGCGCCAGCTGAGTTCTCGAGCTCCCTAAGCCCGGAGTTTCCGCCCTTGGACACAGGTGCCGCGAAAGTTTGCGCTTCCTTGAGGCGGAGCCTGTCGGCCAGGACCCTGCCTGCCTCCCTGTCTTTTAGCCCTAGGACAGCAGCTAGACTTGCAGTCCTCCTAGCCCAGGAATCTCCCATTCTGATTGCCCCTCGGTTTGGGAGTTTCCCCCTCTGATGATTGTTAGAGACATTTGTAAGAAATACCCAGGACTCATTTGTTAGGTCATATCCCGGAAACCGGCTCGTGTGCCAGGTCACTCTTAAGACCTGAAAAGTGGTCGTGTCCAGACTGCTGTGTGATCCCCAAACTGTGTGTTCATATTCCCAGTACAGCAATCGAGAGAGAACCTGACTATATTAGAGTTATAAGAACTCGACCACACTCTGGGGAATGGGGACCTTTGACCTACGTTTGGACGGCTGTGGTAAACCCCTTCCAGCCCCTGGCCACCAGCTTACTTCTAATTGCTTTTATGACATTTTGCTCAGATATGACCCCAGGACCTAAGGCAGCTGTTGTCGGTGCTGGTCCATTGCTGTGGGGGGGAACCGGAGTGTGCTGCTGATAGGTACGGTCAGCCATGACACATACGCTTGAGAATCTCTCTCTGCTTTCACACCCGGGCTGCCACATGCTGGAGAACTGGACAGACTGCTGTGTTGATGTAGACTTAGAAGGTCTATGAAACCATGCTAAGAATGGTCTCGCTACAGGGGCACTGACCTGGCTTCCACTTCATCGCGGGATCTTTATCTGTCTCAATATCTATTTTTCCTTCTCGGTAGTGAAAACTAAGTCCTCCCACATCCTTGTCATTTGCCGTACCGCTGAGTTACATACCTGTGGCCCCAGTTCTGAGTTTGAGAAATGTCAGTCTGAGGAAAGTTAAGACATCGCTGACATAATGGGGAAGAAGTGCTCAAAGCCCAGCTGCGCCCATTTGCAAATGATTCTGTCTAGGGGAAAGGGCGGCTGTTGGGGTCAGCGTGGCTGATCCCGTGTCAGTCAGGGCTGCAGTGATTGCATCTGTGCAGGGGAAAGGGAAACTGCTGGGGTCAGCGTGGCTGATCCTGTGTCAGTCAGGGCTGCAGTGATTGCATCTGTGCAGGGGAAAGGGCGGCTGTTGGGGTCAGCGTGGCTGATCCCGTGTCAGTCAGGGCTGCAGTGATTGCATCTGTGCAGGGGAAAGGGCAGCTGTTGGGGTCAGCGTGGCTGATCCCATGTCAGTCAGGGCTGCAGTGATTGCATCTGTGCAGGGGAAAGGGAGACTGTTGGGGTCAGCGTGGCTGCTCCCATGTCAGTCAGGGCTGCAGTGATTGCATCTGTGCAGGGGAAAGGGAGACTGTTGGGGTCAACGTGGCTGTTCCCGTGTCAGTCAGGGCTGCAGTGACTGCATCTGTGTAGGGGAAAGAGCTGCTGTTGGGGTCAGCATGGCTGTTCCCGTGTCAGTCAGGGCTGCAGTGATTGCATCTGTGCAGGGGAAAGGGCGGCTGTTGGGGTCAGCGTGGCTGATCCTGTGTCAGTCAGGGCTGCAGTGATTGCACCTTGCTTCAGAAACCATTTGGATTGTAAACAGGGTGCTTCTCTTCCCCCGGGCCTGCTACTGTCCTAAGGCGCGAAAAAGCTTCCCTTTTTAATGTGGTCATTCTGTGACGGGCTTAAATACAGCTTCTCTCAGGCATATAAGGAGGTGGAAGGCAGGTTGAGTGTTCGTTTAGCGCCCCTGGACCACCACATATCCCTGAAGAAAGGAGCTGGGGACTCTAATAATTGTTTAGTGTCACCTCAAGAGACATTACGATGCTGGTAGAGTTGTTCTGTTAATCCACGGCTGGCGTAAGTTGAGACATCAGGCCTTCTTCCTCGTGGCTGCTTGAGAAAAGAGAACGCGTGCTATCCCAGTTGTTCTGACTGCCATCCTCCTTGTCTTTGTAGGGTCAAAGTGCTTAACATTGCTGGTTGAAATCCATCCTGTCAACCACGAGAAGGTTCTGAAGGCGGTGGATAGCTGTATCTGGGTACAGGTAAGTAAGCCACCTGTTACCGGTCTCCTGAATCAGAAGGTGTAGCCCCTGGGGAGAAAGGTACCTGTTCACAAAGCGCTTTCACGCACACAGTAGCTCATTTAATCCTCTAAGCAGAGTTCCAGCTGTGAGGGCTTAAGCATCAATGTTTCCCTCGTAAACACGGACTGCGCCGGCTCTGCTCTACCAGATAGTAAGGCAACATCCTCACACGATAAACCATCAAATATTAAAGTAACTCCGTGGTAAGCTCCATATCCACCTGGTTGACAGAGTAATTATCTGGTTAATGGCAGTATATTCCTGACTTTCACAACATTGTGGGTTGCTACCTAAGCACTCGTGGACAGTGTGGGTGAACAAGCCATTTTTCATTGGAAGATTTCACACTTGTGCAACCTTGTGCTTGTGAAGGGTTATTTGCAATTCAAAATGAACATTTATGGCCCTTGACCAGGCATTGGCTGAGCAGGTGAGTCACCTGCTGGCACACCCCTAGCTCAGACGCTACCCTGCCTATCTCCAGACTTACACTTGTTAAAGGGATGGTTATTCCACCCATCTCTTTAGTACGGTTTCTGGAGATGGTCCTTTCTTCCTGAGGGACACCCCTTGACCAGGTCGTGGACCTGTTCGCCTGGATTAGCTCTTCTGGAGGAGACTGACACATTTTGCTTAGATATGTCATTCTCTAAAGGGACAGCTCCTTGCTTTGAAGTTCTGAGCTCCACTATCGTGTGTGTGTGTGTGTGTGTGGTGCTGCACACCTCAGACCTTCCCCAGCCCCACTGTGCAGGACATTTCATCTGTGCACACTCTAGAAGTCATTCATAATTAGCTCTATATTATTTCTGAAGCCGAAGTCTATATTGCTATCTATGATGTAGGGTTATTGCTGAGAAGAATATCATATAGTTAATGGTTTGCTTTCCGGTTCTAGAAGTTCAACATGATTACTTGAGGAAATTGGTCTGCTCTCCTTCTGATCTATCATGTAAAATAAAGGCGACAATAATAGAAAGACCAGTGTCTGTGAAGTTAAGTCATACATAGTTATGTTCTTTTATAATGTTTTACATTTTTTTGGGTTCCAGGGAACAACATCTACTGGTAACTCCTAGTAAATTGCTTTTCATGCCCTAAGATGAAGCTGTCTGTCACTTTTTTGATAATGAAAGATTGAGCATTGACCCCATCTCTTGCCACTTCTCCTTCATTATCACAGTTAACGGAGTGAACTGTGTGCTGGGGGCAGAGCCGCAGGGGAGAGCATGTTGTGGCAAACCTCCTCTTCCCAGTGACAGCTAGCCTAACTCTGAGCCTTGTAAATCTTTAGCCATTGCCACATCATGACTCTGTTCTTTCTTGGAAAGTCCCTGGTTACATGGCTCTTTGTCTCTCAGATGTGGGAGCCTGGAACTTGCAGCAGGGACTGTTTTCATGGTTCCCAATTATATACTAGGTTTAGTTTCACAATAACTATACTGGCCGCCCTTTGGCTCTGCGTGAGATACAACATATTGTATACACGTCATTTGCACTGCTTCTGATTGGCTGCACGATCAGATATTCCAAACGGGAAGCGTCATTCCTGGAGGCGTCCCCCCCTTTGCCTTGTGCTCAAAAGAATGGTGATAAAGTACCAGGTACCAATCCACCGCCCCCCCAGAAAACTGAGCTCCTCAGAGGTTCCTTCCTCTACTTGCTTGACCTTTGACATATGTACATGTGATTCCCCTAAAATATTCTGTGGTTCTCAGTTCCTTGCAAAGGTTGTAGCCATAACCATGACCAAACACTACTGAAGTGTCAGTATAAGCTAAATAGTGGCTTGTAACATGAGGGGCCAGCTTGTTGGGGTTTCTGTCCCGCCCGGTACCCCACAGCCAGCAAGTCCCAAAGAAAATCACACAGAGGACTCTATAAGATTATAAAACTGATTGGCCCATTAGCTCAGGCTTCTTGTTAACTCTTATAGTTTATATTAACCCATTATTCTGATCTGTGTTAGCCATACGGCCTGGTACCTTTTTCAGCTGTCAGCTCACATGTTGCTTCTTTGATGATCTGGGCAGGAATGGCGGAGGGAGCTTCCTGCTTCCCAGAATATTCCTGTTCTCATCACCCCGCCTCTACTTCCTGTCTGGTTACCCGCCTATACTTCCTGCCTGGCCAATCAGCGTTTTATTAAAATACATGATTGACAGAATACAGATAATTCTCCCACACCAGTGGCTAATGATTTTTATAATTCCCTTCCCACAGTTCCTCTACCCACACGTTGAAGGTTGTCTTCTCCAGAACCACCTCTTACTGATTTCAGAAGAGAAATGTAAGTGTGTCTTTGGATAATGGATAGGCGGTGTGCGCACAGTCAGTCTCCTAGTGAAACCTGAAGACTGGGTAAACTGCTAGATATCTTTACCATTGCCCAGCGTCTGCTAACCTCTGATGTCCACTGGAGACCTAGAATTTCTTTTCCTAACATAGCATTTTTTTTTAATCTTCAGTTTCCTTGTCTTTGGAAAGGAATAGCTTGTGCACACAAAGATGGTGCAGTTTGTTGATGTGTAGAACAGTTACACTGTTTCCTTTAAGATGCCCGTCTGTCCAAGCTGATGGCTGTGGTCCAAGTGTAAGGGGCTTGGATGGAGAGAAGGAACGGAAGGCTTGGTCACTAGAAGAATTCCAGGGCAGATCTAAAGTACACAGTAGCATGACCCAACTCAAGTAGAAATGATGCAAGAGGTCATGGCCTTTCGAGATGTTTTCAGTTTCGGGAAGAAGTACAGACAAAAGTCATTAATACTTACCAACAAGCAGTCTTTGATGTTGTGAGGTGAAACTGTGGGTTGTCTTACTTTTGGAAGAACAGGTTGCATTATATTTGTATTTAGTTCCTGCGTTTTGGGTCAGTTTTTGGTACCGTGTTTTGTCTTGCAGTTAGAGCCAATAGAATATAGATTGTTACTGTTACTGCAAATTGAATAAAAGTAGTAAGCTTTTGTTCACATGATGTAGCCCCTAAAATGCCTCTTATGTGTGTGCATATATATGCAATATATCTATATATTTATATTAATACATATATGTATTGGGAAATTAGAGGTAAATGCACTAATGAGGCTCTCATTAGTCTTATCTAAGACGGGTGATACAAGAGTAGCAAGCACTTGTAGAGGGAAGCAAAGCAAAAAGGACCAGGTGATATGTGAATTAGAACATTAAAATAAGAGTGAACGTG